CGAGGAAGGGCAGCAGGACCGGATGGACTAACTCCAGAGGTATACAAGGATGGTGGTAAGGTCCTCTTAGTCAGGTTAACGGAAGCGTTAACTAGCGTATGAGAATCAAATACGATCCCCTTTGACTGGTCTAAATCACTGATTATCCCAGTCTTAAAGAAAGGCGAGAAGTCCTCTTGTGATAACCACAGAGGAATTAGCCTGATGAACATAGTCTCCAAGATCCTAGGTTCTATAATTCTTCGACACCAGAGTGAAGCTCGATAACAGAAAACCCGAAAAAACCTGGTAGGCTTTAGAACCAGCACCGGGTCTGTCGGCCAAATATTCACACTGCACCAGGTTTTGTAACACAGATACGCTTACCGACGCCCAACAATAGCTGCATTTCTCGACCTGAAGACGGAATTCGACTCCGTTGATTCAGAAGTCTTATGGTAATGTCTCTCAAAGAAAGGTAAGCTGAGTAAGTACAACATCTTATTGAAGACTGAAAACTCAAACACTTGTGTATGTGTGTTACAGCCTATGGTGAGATATCCGGGGTGCTGTACTTGTCGAGTAATGTCCGTCAAGCGTGTCCACCATCTGCAATCTTATTCAGTTTTTTCATAGAAACCCTTACAAAGGTTTCCCTCTCGTCACCTTACTACAAAGAGTTTGACTTAAACGCCGGAGAATTTTTGTTAGACCCAGAATGCCCGGTGAAGACGCTGACAAGATGCAGTCTTCTAGATACTCAGTGGCAAGCTGAGAATGTTTGGGATACTTTTCTCACCACTCAAATGAAAATTGTTGCTCCAGGATTCATCTTCAAAAGTGCCACAGCTAACAACACAGAGTGAAGTGGCTCAATGTGTTGACCACTTCACTTACCCAGGAAGTAGGATCAGCACTACACTGGTGGCTCAGTGGCTGACGAAATCTCTGCACGAATCCAAAAGGCTTGGTTGGTTTTTGCCAACTTACACCACGTGTGACGCCGCCATGATGTCCGATTGTCTATTAAGGGTTGCGTGTACTGCACAGCAGTCCAGTCTGTTCTACTGTATGGCTGTGAAACATGGTCATTGGAGGTGGAAGACATGAGAAGGCTTCAGGTGTTTGACCACCATTGCCTTCGTAGTATAGGCCGTATTCCATGGTGTCACGACGTGAGTAAGGCAGAAGTCAGGCTCATGTGTAGAGTTTTAGGGAGAAGAAGTAAATCGGTTGACGAGGTTGTGGACTTTCATCGGCTGAGATGTCTGGCTGGGACATGTGTTACGTTTGCCTAGTCACTGTCTGCTTCGTCACACAATGTTGGTTGAAGTAGGTTAAGGCTGGAAGAGGGCCTGAGGTGGCCAGACTAAAACATGGCATGAATGTATGAAGTCTTTGACTGTTTGTCTGAGCCATGTGGGATGATGTAGACTAGCTGGTTGGGGTCTTCGGGACAAGAGAAACCAGTGGCTGGCGACTCTAGATAATATGGCTCAGAACCGATGTCAGTGGCTCCGACGTATGCACACATTATCCTCATCTTAACGACGCTATACCGAATTTCACCATTTTCTCATCCTTGCCTTTTCTCGTTTAGTACTTTATATTTCCTTTGAGTGAGTTTTCTTTTCTTCATCTTCCACTTCACTGTCCTTTTACTTGATGTGCTGATATGAGCTGTGGCGACTCGGACCGTTGAGCAGTAACTCCTGGCCCTATGTTGATTTGGATGGATGGATGGAATGTTGAAGAATGGAAGTCTTCAGATAACCATTCCTCATGAAAGCATTTTATTTGAGATTAATCAGCCATTCAGAATACCAGTACTCTACTTGCTTCAAGTTAGTGAAACCATGGAATTCATTTTTGAAGTCTTCAACATCTCTGTACAGTAATGAACATTTACAACACAGCTTATCTGCAGGCTTGCATGAAACACTCTTCCTCGCCTTTGCAAAAACATACTGTCATCAGTGTTTTGCTCAGTTTGCTACACTTTAACTCCACCAAACGTTTCTTTACGACTATTTTAGCTTTCGAATTTTTGGCAAGGGAGGGAGTGTTGAGAAAATTTTAGTGCTTGTGACATTATTTGGCACCCTGTTACCCAGGAAATCAGGTTTCCCTCTGATGCTAATTTACTAAAACTTTGGGTATACACGATTTCCAAGATTAAGAGACCTTTCGTAATGTTTCGGATGCATAAAGGAAAAAGAAAAAAGGTTTTGGAATCCACATGAAGGTTGGACTAATATTTTTATCGGCACCGTTTCACACATATGTCAATTTACCAACAGTTTCAATGATATTTATTGTGGCATGAATGAGATCATTATTCAGTCATCTGTGTGATATACAGTTTTAGTTTTCTTCCCATTATCTGTTATTTTTGTCTGTGAAATTCTTTTTGCTCATATTAAGTTTCTACAACCCTAAAGTCATCAATGTGAAATATGTTTAGAACTATAGTTTCTAGATATAAACAGTGGAACTTAATATGATCTTGTAATAATCAACTGGATTTTATGCCATAAGAGTTTCAGTTTAGGTTTTGTGATTAGTTCTGAGAAGTCAGACCAAAACTGTATTCATGAATTGATGGTCAAGATTTTATAATTCAGTGAACAAGATGTAACATGGACCTTTTCTCGAAATTGGAGCATCTCTATGTCTTTCTAGCTGTATTGCTCGTCGAGTATTTCAACCATATTTAAATGCGTTGGTTATAAATAGCCTTAACCAATAAAACCTACGACAATTTTTTAGTATAATAGTTGTGGTAACTTCTGGACAGTTAACATGTCTACAGTGTAGATACCACTGAAATTCGGAGTGTTGTTTCAATATGAAAATAGTTATCATTTGTACTCTAAAATTTTATATCCACTAAAATTACATTTAACTTTAAATCTCTGCTACATAAAGGTTTACTTCAACAACTTTCTGCTTGAGAATTCGAAATTATGACAACTTCAGTTCTGAACAATTCTTAATTGGCAAGTTCAAACAAAAAAGCATTCCCAACAAACTACAGACATACTTCATTAACAGTTGCCGCCTTCACTCACTCGATACTGAAGACCAGGTCAGATGGCCAGAATAATAAGAGTAAACAACAACGAACTCTAGCTGGCAACGAATCAACCAATCGAGAACCCACCGCCTAACAAATATTAAGAAGAAAGTTGAGATGGATTGGATTGGTCATACACTGAGAAGGCCGATTGGGGACATCACGCGTCAGGCTAGACCAGGCCGTCGTGTAGAACTAGAATGGGAAACGATGAGTTGGGTATCCGAGGTGGTGGTGACATAGAGAAGATTGTGTGAGGAAGGAAGGAAAGTTTGCTGGCAGTCATGGAGTTATGTTGAAAAGACTTCAGAGAAGAGAGTGAAATGTAGACATTCTACTGAAGCCCTACATTCTACTAGGAACCCAAGGGACAAATTATAAATAACAATGTATATTAACCAACAAAATATTCAAGCTGTTGGTAGAAATCAACTGTGACTCTTGCCAAAGCTGAGTTAAATGAAGTGAAACTTCACTTGGATAGCTAATTTAAAGCTTGGGAAATGAAGCCTCTAAGAATATTACGGGATCAAATTCAAAATACCAAATGTACTCCCTAACTTAAGGTTCAGATATTTGCTAAGCACTCAAAAAAGCATTATGTTAACACATATCAAACAATCTATCAGTCTAGAGAAGAAAATGCTTCTTCATAGATTCCACTATAAACTTTTTTTTATAATTAAATGTAAATTCTTAGTTCTTAGAATGTGATCTCCTCATTGAAGAGTATGAAATCCATCACTTAGTTTTCCGGGTTTTTTCCTTATTAACCTTGCTAATTTTTTTTACCCGAAAAATAATAGTGTAGGCATTTCACTTATCAGTATACAAAACTGTATCTATAGACAATGGTAATTTGTAGTTTCTAGTTACCTCTAACCATTTGATCGCAATCGAAATTCACCTTGAAGTTGAGTCTTTTACTTGAGTGACCACATACTAAAATGATTGATGTAATTTGGTCAACACTTAGGATTCTAACGGTCGGTCGATATATGTCATTTAGCCCTAGAGGAAGTCATTTGTGATTTTTGTAGGTCAGTGGTAGCGTCTTTAATTGTAGCACTGTGTGAAATTGTTTTAGGTCACTGAGGTGATTGAAGGGACTAACTGAAGTTAGAGATATATCTTGGTGACTAATTCTAACAAACAGGAGACCCAAGTCCGGGACTTCCTGCAGACTGCCTTCGACTAACCGATTACTGCTAAAAGCTGAATGTATAATACAACCGTAAGACAAGTTTTTCTGAATTCTACCTTAATATAAAGTTAACTTAGTGAGTGTCTTTTTTATATGGAATGTTGAAACTTTGAAAATGATTTACTGAGTATGAAGTACAACTGTTTAGCTTTGTTTGTCTTACAATACACGATCAGGTCATTTTACTTTATTTGCTTGACCTTAATATAAATTCGAATATGATCTTACAAGTGTGGAAGCGAATTTCAGCCTATAGTTCAAAATTAATGCGATGGCTCATGAAAACAGTGTATATTCTTAAGGAACAGCTGTGAAAATCCTTATGCTTGAACTCTGTCTTTTTATTTACAAACTGAGCCAGTAGAATTTTTGCCCACAGCAAATATGGTGTTAAGGACCTTTGTTGACACCTTTGGAAACAGACAGAGTTTAATAAAAAAAGAACTGGTGAAGAACAGCGTAACGTAGTCAGACGCTTAAACTAAGTTCTGAAACCTTGTTATTGACAAATAACTGCTTTCATTTTAAAACTTTCTCAGAATATTCAAAACGATTTAACGAAACCTTTGACTTTTTGTTACTTTGCCTTATTCATATTTGAAACCTAGGACACATTCAAAGGACATTGTTAACTATTCCTTCTAAACTTAATAAAATAACGCGCTTTCAGAAAATCTCAACGCTTTTAGATGACGTTAAGATATTTAACTCATAAATTTAAAGCATACAGAGAACCTTAGCTAAAATTAGAAAAGATTTTATTTACCATTTTCAGTAATAAATGCTGTATCGTTACCCAAGTGAAGTGTAGGAGTTTTACATTCAAAAGGATAATGAAAGATCAATTCACAGTTTGGTTAGGTGTACTTTTATTAATGATGAATACGTTTAAACATTGGAATATGGATCAACAGAAAGGCTTTTTTGAGAAGTAAATAACTACTGCATATATTAATTCAATGACTGAGACACGATCTATACTTGTACTTATCAAGACTAAGATGTCTCATAATTGAACATTGAATCCAGTTTCTTTGCAAAGTATTCCATACGCTTCTCAAGCCGTTTACCTACTGAAAGAACAAATCAGATCAGAATGTTTTGATCAACATGAAAATGACTTACTGATTTTAGCAACTTCCAACAACTTCTTGTCTAAATCTTCCTTCTTCAAGTATTTATCAATAACCTTATAGACGTGTCTACGTCCCTTCTTACATGACCTCCATAATACACCAAGTATTTTTTTCTGTGAGAAGATGAGTTTTTAAAATGATTGTAATTACCGATCCACTATCCTTTCCAAAACCAAATTCATCATTTTCATTCTCATCATCATCATCATCATCCTTTCCATCTGAATGTTCAGCTCCATGATGATCTTCCGCTGCTTTGGTGGTTTCAGCTCTGAAATAACAATAAAAATATGGTCTTAAGTTGCAATATCTGACAGGAACCAGAGAAGTATTCAGTGAGTTTATTCAGAGAACTTTAAAAAATAATTTATGTATAAGTGAAAGCTTATGGTATGACCATCATTTTTGTCGAGATATTTCTACATATAGCTTGAAATTATTTTGGAATGAGTCTACCATTCAAGTAATTATTGGCCTTAGTTCTATTTCCGAAGATGATATATTTCTAGTCTGCAAAAGTACGTCCACTATGAAAAACTGATTGCTTCATACTGTCGAAGGTATACTACATTACGCATGTATAATAGATGTACTAACATACCCTCTTTTGCCTGCTCAAAGTTCAATTTTTCTTTCCTTCTTCTCAATGTGGACAAAGTAAGTAACTACGTTTAGGTAGGTCACCTATTTTTGTTACAGTATAAAGTTCCCTTTTTTATAGGTCCACTTGTATATCATTAAAACAAATACAATGTATTTAACCTCTGAATTATGCGTTAAATATTGGTATGGAAAAATAGTGTAATATTCCTCAAAACCTAGTTTACAAATAGCCTTACTTACTGTAAGATGAATTATTTTTCCTGTCGCCACTGAGATAAAAGCAATGAATATTAATTAGCAAACAGCAGTTGAGTTGTGTTGATAACAAGTAAATGCTTTTTTGTAATAATAATATCATTATTATCATTAATAGCTTTATTTCAAACAAGACTTGTCGTACAACATGGAATTCTCAACACATAATTTCCAACAAATTAATTCCCTGTACAATATCTGTAGGCAAAATAATCATGGCATCTGAATGATGTCAATAACAACAGTAATAAAAGCCACAGTGTGAAACAGGCACATGGTATTACATTAGCATTTGGTTTGAACTGGTGAATGAATAGAATATAGAGCGTGATTTTGATGGTTGTAGTTTATTCAGTCAGTGCTAAAATCTGCTGTTGGGGATAATTATCTCAAGATTGGTAATATACTGTATTTCTGTGCATTTATAAGCCCATCTCTTACTGGCATATCATCAATTCTTTTTTTCACCTGTAGCTTATAAAACGGTAGTTTGGAACCATTTTGAAAGTGTGCAAGACGTATTTAAATGATCATAACAAACTAGAAAGGATGGATTTGATCAAATAAATTCGGTGGAAAATTTCCCATGCTCCAAAGTTTAAGCAAACTGCCAGACTAACCAGCGTTTCTTACTGGTGAACAAATAGAATGCAAACTGATATGATGAGATGGATAGGTTTGGAATTTATACAGGTTTGGATATTGTCTGAGTGTCAGAATTCAATCTACTGTTCCCTCCTCTGTACATTAAATTAAATTACACGCTAACAGACAGGATATTTTAGAGTTATCATATGAAAATATTAGATGCGTACCGTGTACAGTAAACTACTCAGTGAACTAAACTACTGTCAAAATTCTGAGGTTAATAAACTGGTTTATCAGTTTGAAAAAGTTTGAAGACGCATCAAATTCTAACGTCAAATGTCACAGAATAAAAATTCGTATACTCAAGATTTTGATGGATAAAATACAATCAAATAAAATAATTTTGAGTCTATAACTTACGCAAATATAATATAAGGGACTAGGGTACAATAAATGACCAGGAATAAGAGAGTGAGCTTCATTTTACTAATGAATATCCAGTTATATTACAACAGCGAATTCATCAGAAACCTACATTATATATCAATTCTAAACCGATACCTTTGTCCTTTGTTGTGTCATTAGTTTTCCTCCTACGCTCCATATATTAGTAAATCTAGTATTTGAAATGTGTTCATGCTCACTTATTGTAGGGTAAATGTATTTCAAGATCATTGAGGACAGTATCGTAACTTATAACCTTAATGATTACATGCCTTTTCGGACAGTCTTCACTATATAATTACCAAATGATAAATATCATACCCGAAGATAGATAAATATACACGCATACAAATGAAATGTGTTCATAAATGAGTGTTTAACAGTAAATGGACATATATCTGATGTAAACATTATGAATACAAAAAATTCACTATTCAAAGATATACATGTGAAAATATGGTATTGACTTGATTTCGTTATGAAAAATTCTGTGAAAGAGAAAAATAAATTATCTTATAGTTATGGCGAGAATCTCAGTGCATAAGCATGTTGTAAACTAACTAATTGGCACTGTCGTTAAGAAGTCACGATTGCCCTAAGACGAATTAACCAATAACCCGAATGAAGTACAGTTAGAGTTGATTTAATAAAAACTAAGGTTGAACAACTGTTCAATATCATAATTTCTTTAAACTACTTAATACATTTTAGTATAATTGTTTTTAAATGATACTGTCGTTGCTTGAACCGAATTGATCAGTCTCTATTGGCATTTGGGCTCCTGTGCCGATGCCTCGATATTGTCTGTGTTCTAATTATATTAATGATGGATCGTGGCTAATATAATTAGAACACAGACAAAATCGAGGCATCCACAGAGGAGTCCATATGCTAATAGAGATTGATCAATTCGGTCCAAGCAACGACGGTATCATATGGAAACAGTTATATTGAAATCTATACCCATCGCACTAGAATCGGCTATCGTGGGTCGGTGGTGTAGTGGATAGCGCTGTGGTGTTTGAAGCGGTGGCTTCCGAGTTTCGTTGGGAACAACATGACTCACTGGGAAGCAAGTACATTCAGCTGATGAGTCCAAATAGAACGAAGTGTGCATCCTGGATTCCATTGCTAGCCACTATCCGTCATTAGTTAATAGATTATCTCGGTAGTTTCCAATGAAAAAATCCTCCGTGTATAACATTTTGAAGTGCTGATCAAACTCAGTGTATACTGTTGAGTAGTTAAAACATTTTGAACGTTTATAAAATCTTCATGAAATAGATATTTGGTCTTCTTAGATAAGATTTATTCAATTAGTGAAAAGTTATTTTCAAGATATCTTCATAAAAAGACTTATTTCGACCTCAAAAGTATTAACTTCAAGGTAGATTTATTTGAGAGACATTGAGAATCTAAGGATACTGGACAGCTGTTGTATCCTAATATCGTATCCTGTAGTAGTGTGCACGTGAGACATCCCATAGGATAAAAACCTTGAGCGTAAGGATCCTCAGCGAGTGGATTACATTTTAGCTACTGGACTAGGAGTTCAAGATTTTAAACATCTGAATGGTAAAATAACTCGCATTGGAAACTAGTGGTAATGCGCCAGATCACTTGTAAGGTCATATGTGTGTAGTACTGAGAATTTCTATACTGAAACGAAAGGCAGTTTGGTGCTCCTAAGTTTTTAACGCTTCTTTAAGAGATATCAGTACACTATGAATACTATCTTAAAATCAGTCATTGCCCACAAACCACTTAAAAGAGAAGTGTTTGCGAATCGATAATGTATTTCGCAGCATTCAGAACCTTATTTAAAGGGAAGTCAGTGATAAACCAGAAACTTTGTCAGTGAATGAACAGAACATTTCTATCATTCCTCTCAAACTCATTCAGGAAATGTAGTTTTTACAATACTTAATGCTGTGATATTCTAACAAATTCTCCGTAACTGGGGAAAATAACGCTCTCTAAGCGGAAGAAAAAAAGTTTCAATAAATCTCATGAAGCCTAGTCTTTAACCATCTCTGATGTCTAGATATCTCAAAATAGTCAAAGCAGGAGTTCCAGATTTCACTGCTGACTACTTCCAAATACTATCAACTAGCAAAGTAACCATTTATTCCGAATTATTCAGAGTCAAAAATAAAAGGAACTTAGGGATTTGAGGAATCAGTCTTACAATTTATTTTCACTATCCATCATCTACTGACATCATTTGGAGAAACTTTAGAAACTTGAGAGCACTGGACAGCTGGTTCGTCCCCAGCAGTGCGAACTCACCACTCCGCCCTCCAGGGATCGAACCCAGAACTTTCAGTTTCCCTAGCCAACACGTAACCATTTGGCTACTGGATCGGAATCCAGCAGTATATATTTCCTACTTCTGTCAATCCACTATATAGCGCGATCTCCATCCAATGTCGTTGTTGAGTACCTGTCCTCATATTGAAGACGATTCGCCCCACTGGTTGTTGCTTCTTATTGGAACTTCAAGACAAAAAAATGTTTCTCCAACTGAAATATGTTCATGATGAATACCAACTGTAACTTATTAAAATCCCCACAAGCTTTATAAGTCTGTATTGATAAAGGCTGAATTATCATACTGAAACCAAATCCTTCATGAATGCTTAATGAAGATGATGCAATAATTAAACGTTTAGCTGTATGCGTAGAGTGGATAAACGCTGAAGTCCATTGAAGTTTCTTTTCATAACACACTGGAGTAAACCAATAATAAATGTGGGTCCTTTTTAAAAATACTTTTGTAATAAATTGGTAAGTACAGCTTTACTTGTGATGTAATTAACTATGCTCTTCAACTTTGAATACTTTAATGATTGGATTCATACTTTATTGTTAGAAAATAATTTATTGTGATACTAATCATTTATGCTACTCTTGGAGTTCTTTTTTACCACTTGTTGATTCGTTTCTTAGTATGTTACTTGTTAAGCTGATTCCTATGAATTATGAAAAGCAATAATTGGGATCTACTTTAGTGGAAATAATACTTTATTCAATTCTATGGTTGCTTTCACTACTAGGAGGAAGAGTAGAATTAGTTGAATAAGAAGTAGTTAACAATGAGTTACTCAGTAGAGGCTATTACTTGAATAATATCTGTGGTTTATCAACCATATGACAAGCGAATACTTATTGTTACAATTTTTATAGGTTGCTTGGTAAAGGATTACATCCGGATGCTAAAAAATGATGATCATGCCCATCATATTAGAGGATAAGCATCCTACCTCAGTTGCACCAATTAAATTTAATTCAATAAAATTATTATATTATCATTTCTCTATCAGGCTTCACGGTGTGCATAAATGTTTGTTCACTGGAGAGCAGCCGATTTCATGTTGTCTAGTCCTCAGTGCTGACCGAATTCTATCGACCATTTTAAAATATGACCACCAAAGCTATGAGGTTCATCATCGTGATGTGCTTTTCGTACATGTGAGTTGGTTGAAAGCAGTTGGCAGGAGGCCATGATTGACCTATGTCTCATGCTTTTTCATACTCATCAGGAAGACCCACCAGGAACTCAGTTGAATGGAAACTTTGTAGACTGTAACACTGTGTGATGTAGGTTTAAATCTCGGAAGGGATGTCAGTTCTTTTGAGGTTGCAGGTACACTTTGGTGATGAGTACCAATAAGCACAAAATCTGAGTCAATTAGGGCTTCCTTCTGATTGCCTTGAAACAACTGACATCCATCTTTACACTCTTTTTATCGCATCAAAGATCAATTCGTGAAGCGATGCTACTTACTATATCTTAAGTAGATGGATTGAATAAAATGTACAAAATATTACTAGTTTTCATTGACATTTCATCTAATGTTAGCCTGCGATCAAATCTGATATCTAGTTGAAGAATATGATAGATGTGATGTAGTCTGTATTTTTGGAAGGCTTACTTCTCCTGCATTCTGTTAAACGGCTAGCAAAATTTAAATTTCTCTTCTTACTCCAATCAAATCAGCGATGTCCGCCCAACATTTTGTATTTGCCTTGAGTAATAGTGCCACGTTATTCATAACAGGAGGTCTACTGAATCTGAAAAAAGACTTAAACTCAGGTAAAAAAATAAGTCAGTGATGAATAATATCTTAGAATTATCCAATACCCATAGTTCACATTGTTGAATTACTGCACAGTACTAAGTAGTCACTGTCGTCGAGATGAATTTCCTCAGGTTTTGCTGAGAACCCTTTACCCATGGAACTAACCAAATTGATTGTGATGAAAAATACTTACCGATGGAAACGGATGATAAAGGTGTTCTATTGCAAACTGACAAAAATAGGATAACGTGAACCGAATGATTTCAATGCAGTCGTTAAATTGTGACTTGCTAGCTGGGAGTCTTCAGTGTCGTAAGCTGGTTTGGTTGTGGGGTAGTGCGTGCAAATTCCTGAAAAATTCCATATTACGATGGTTTTCTAAATGATATCCAAACCGTGATGAATACTATCTTGAAATGAAATGAACTATTTACTTTTCATCCATTTCCATTGCTAAGCATCAATATGTTTAGTGCACTAACCAAATAGGCTAAAGATACACTTAGTCAGCGTTAATTCTTATTCTGAGCATTAAATAAAGCTCACTTTTTCAGAAGAAATGTCATAAGAATTAAAGTGATACCTGTACGCAGTGCTTTTTATTAAGAAATGAAACATTTCTCACTGATAGGCCACTTTCATAGGACATTAAACTAATAACTGTGAGGATTTTGCTTGTTAGCTGACCTATTTATTTTTAAAAAGTAGATTTGGAGGGTGATAAATAGTATATCGTATCTTTAAGGATTATTTAGGGAATGAAGTGATGCAGTCAGGCATAATGAACAATTTGAGTTTTGAGTTTCGTCAAATATTTAGGGTATCAGCATGAAATTAAGCATGAAACTATTCAGTATGCCACACTCACCTAAAACGAGTCCATGATGAATATCCTCTTCGGTTTTTTTCCAAGATAATACTTTACGACCAAACCACAAATCTTTATCAATCTCATTCAACAGCTGTATGAAGACACCACATGCCAAGTAATTCACAATAGAAAGCTGAGCTCAGTGATGACTTCGAAGTGGCAACAGGAGACAGGAGTAACACAAGGCTGTCTACTATCACCCATGATATTCCTGATTGGAGTGGACTGAATCACGCAACAAACAGTGAGGAGCGAGAACAGGAGGATACGCTGGATGCACTGGGGAATTGATCCTAGAAGATTTAGATTCCCAGATGACCTATATCTAATGTCACA